TTTAATGATTTTTATGATTTGTTCTATAATTGTCTATATAATTGTCTGCCATTCTATCTGGGACCTGTTAATGTAATCCTTTTCAGAGCAATGACTAAGGGGTAACTGGGCACCATCTAGTTTATAGGTTCCCAACCTGTTTGGCCTACTGCCTCCTTCTCAGAGAAAAAAAATTTATTCAATGTCTTCCTTGCATTTACACTTTTGTACTAAAGCCCATAATCGAGGATAAAGTATAGATGTCTGTTTTTGCAGCCCCCTGGATTGGTCCAGTTTCCCCAGGGAGGCAGTATTGCCTACTTTGGGAGACATTGCTATAATTCTTCTGGTTTCAGGGTCTAGGAGACCATTATTGATGAAGATCAAGGCCTATAGCTTTCAGTGAGGATTATAACTCCATGTAAAGAAAACAGAGCTTTTCACACTGGACCAGTAGACAGCATCATGATCAACAGAGACAAGATTGAGTTTGCCAAGGATTTCCTTTTACTTACGGCCACAGTTAACACTGATGAAGTAGCAGTCAAGAAATCAAACAGCATATTGTTTGATTGCAAATGTTTGATTGCACAGGACCTTGTTAAAGTGTTCCCAGGCTCCGATGTTACCTTGAAGACTAAGGTGTGCCTGACCCAAGCCATGGTGTTTCCACTCGTCGCACGTGGCTGTGAGGGCTTGACGATGAGTAAGGGAGCTTGTTAGAATTGATGCTGTGGACTGTGTTTCCGTGAAGAATGAGAGCACACAGATGGCCACGAGCCCAACCGAATGTGTCTTGGAGGAAGTACAGCCAGAATGTTCCTTAGAAGCAAGAATGGCAAGACTTTGTTTCACGTGTTTCAGCCAGACCTTCTTAAATGGTGGGTCACCACTTCATATGGGATTTTGGAACTGAATGTGGAGGTCATGAAACTTGGGCAACAATGGAAGTTTTCATAACAAGAAATGGCCCCAAATCCATTCAGAATCAAGCCTGTAGTGACTGAGGTGTTTGGGCAGTTCCTGCTAGTGTTGCAAATGTCTTGGGTGAAAAGGGGTTGCAAGTGGAAAAGTCTAAGAAGTCCTGCTTTAAACATGTTAGCAGGAGTCTCTTTTAAAGGATACCAGCCTGGGTAGAGTAGCGGGTTGGTGTAACAGTTGTGAGGATGTGCAGGGTCAGGCCATGGTTCACTGTATAAGGGGTCGTTATGAGTCAGAATCATCTCTGGCAGCTAACAGCAACAATTCAATAATAAATAACAATGCAGTTTAAAAAGACAAAGAATTTTAATAGACATTTCTTTTAAAAAAGATATACACATGGCCAGTACAAAAACAAACCCCCCAAAACCCCAAATTCAATGCCATGCAATCAGCGCTGACTCATAATGACCCTATAGGTCAGGCTGGAACTGCTCCTGGGAGTTTCCAAGACTGTACCTATTTACTGGAACAGAAAGCTCTGTCTTGTCCCATGTAGTGGCTGGTGATGTCACAGTGCTTATCTTGTGGATTGCAGCCAAACGAGCGAGTACTACTCCACCAGGTGTGAAAAGATAACGCAGCATCCTTGGTCATAGGGATGCTTCTGTTTATCAAAGCCACAGTGAACTTCCATTTCATACTCACATCTCATACTAATTTCTTTAGCCTGAAACTGATCTGACATATAGTCAAGATGCATTGATAACTTTTGGTATTTGGAATGTAGTAGTTGGAAACGAAGAAGGAACAGTAGTTGGAAAATACGGCCTTGGTGATAAAAATGTAGATGGAAATTATATGATATAATTTTGTAAGATCAACTATTTCTTCATTGCAACTGCCTTCCCTTATTTTTAACAACATAAATGACCATTTTACTCTGGACCTATCCAGATGGATGGTATAGGAATCAAATTGACTGCTTGTGTGGGAAGAGACAATAGTGCCAAGACCATCAATTGCTCGTGTAAATTCAGGATGAAGCTAAAGTAAATTACAGTAAGCTCATGAGAACCAAAATAAGACCTTAAATTTATCCCACCTGAATTTCAAGAATGTCTCAAGAAGAGATTTGACAACTTGCACACCAATGACAGAGAACTGATGAGCTGTGGAATAACATGGAAAACGCCATACATTGAAGAAAGCAAAGAAAAGGTCCTTAAAAAGCCAGGCACTAAGAGTTCAAAGTAGATGCCAGAAGAGGCTCAAACTTGATCTTATTATAGAGTAGCTAGGGCAAATGGAAGACATGATGTCGTGAAAGAGCTGAGCAGAACATTTCAAAGCGAGCTGGAGAAGACAGATTATTGTCGTGAAATATTCAAAGACTAGGAGTTAGAAAGCCAAAAGGGAGGAACATGCTCGGCAGGCCCGTCTTTGGAGGGCATTACAAACACATGGCCACCTAGTTGATGTTGGCTGGACAGGAGAACTAGCGCTAGGGCTTCACAGGCTGCGAATCTTTGCTTCTCCTGAGGAGTGGCCGGTGGGTTTGAACTGCCAGCCATTTGATTAGCAGCCTTGCTTTTCACCACTGTGTCACCAGCCCTTCTTTGGGATTAGCAAACTAAGCTCTAGGAGCTACAGGGCAGCTTTGACTAGGTCAGGTCATAGGCTTGTTTCGTCTTTGTTTAGAGCAGTGGTTCTCAACCTTCCTAGGGCCGAGACCCTTTCACACAGTTCCTCATGTGGTGGTGACCCCTAACCATAACATTATTTTCGTTGCTACTTCATAACTCATTTTGCTACTGTTATGAATTGGGCGACCCCTGTGAAAGGGTTGTTCGACCCCCAAAGGGGTCCTGTCCCACAGGTTGAGAGCCGCTGGTATAGAATATCTGTAAGGATACCTTTGCATCCAATGGGGTCTTTCTCATTTCTCAGGGACAGTTCTTAAAACACAGATGATAGCATTTTGCCTGTTAATGTGTGAAACTTCGTGTGTTTTTATATATTTAAAACTGCATAGTTTATACAGAATCAAGTGTTTAGAGATCAGGGAATCTCTAGAAAGCACCTGGGTCCCTCACCCCCTAACTTTTTATTGTGAATTAGGTAGGGGTAGGGGTGTAGTTACAGGCTGCTAATGAATTTACACATCAGATCACCTTTTTTGCATTTAACAACTTATCAAACCTCCCAATGGCTTGCTATGTCCCTGTCCCACAGCTCCTCTGCACCATATTTAACACCCGTCTGCCCTCTAGCTACACACACACACACACACACACACCGTAGCCATCGAAGTCTGTTTCTTGACTCCCGCCTCCCTTTATAACAATGATCTCATACAATACTTGCCCTTTTGTGATGGACTCCCTTCACTCTTCATAATGTCCTCCGTGTTCATGAGTCATGAGGGGTTTCGCAGTTCCACCACTGTTCTTTAATGATGCGTAATAGTCCGCTATGTGTATGTACTGAAGTTCGTATATCCGTTCTCCCACTGATGGGCACTCAGACTGTTTCCATCATCTTGCTATTGTTACTGTGCTGCAGGGAACATGGTGCGCATCTATCCGTCTGTGCTGTGTTCTTTATTTCTGTAGGGAGTCTTACCAAGAAGCGCTTTTGCTGACTCACACGGCTTTTCTAGTCCCAATTGTTAGAGGATGCCACCAGACCGCTTTGCACAGTGGTTGTACCCCACCAATTACTTTGAACCCTCTTCAGCATCTGTTGCTTTCCGCTGGAGAATGCAGAGTGAAGTAACGGACATAGAATGAGCCGACTGCAGAGCTGGGAGTAGAAACCCTGTTTTCCCCTCCACATACTCCACTGGCAATATAGGGAGATGATAGCTGGACCCGTAGAGGGCCAAGAGAAATCAATCAGATAATCAACTCAAGCTGCTTCCCTAACATTATATTTGAAATATTTACAGCTGAAGGCAGGTACAATCTTTACACACCGGATGGCAAATATATCTTCAAGGAAAGAGAATCGTTTGATGGCCGGAACATTTTAAAGGTCAGTATGAAGTAGAGTGAATTGGAAATCCTTTGACATATGTGCTGAATGAGGGAGGAAGCTCAGTCATCCTCCTTTTAACAACAGACTGTATTTTCCTCATGTTTCCCATGAGAATTGTTGATCGAAAGGGCTGCTAGATTGTGTGTGCGTATGTGTGTGTGTTTGTATGTTCAAAAAGAAAAGTCTTCTTGACCCTGTTAAAGCAGTGGTCCTCTAGCGCACTTGCAGTTGATGATTCAGGAGACAATTGAGTCCCCCAGTTACTCAGTTAGAATAAGATGATTTTAATCTGGTGCGTTTCCTTTGGTGTTTTTACCTCCAGAGAGTTGAGTGCATTTTTCCAAGTGAAAACAAATTGTTTTGTTCACGTGGATTTTTCTCACCAAAAAAAAAAGAGTCACTCTCCAAAGTTGCTTTTTATTCAATTTTTACTCAAGACCAGCCGTGCCTTAAATAGGAGGTGGCCCATTTCTGACACTTGGGGCTTTGATGTCAAGGGTTGAATTTATCTGTGAAACATAAAAGAAACATGTTTTTCTGGCTTGGGTTTATCTCTGTCCCACAGAGCACGTTCTGTAACATCCAGAAGTCATGCCTTCATTATCAGGTGCACTCTCCACTGCTTCTCGGGGCGAAGAGAAACAAGCTGCCACCATTGGAGAGCTTTTTGATTTGGGGTTTACTTGCTCTTTGGGTTAGGTCAAACCTATTCAAGGCCAGGGGTGTTTTTGGAGCTGGGAAAGAGCACCACTGTAAGCTTCCTCATGACAAGTGCCTTTTCTTTTCTCTATTCTGTCCTCGCCTCCAGTCCCTTAGCCTGTTGCTTGCTGGTTTAAATGCCTAGTGTGACATCATTGCCTCCATCAGTGGCCTCACCCTGCAGCGCTCAGCTGAGAGCTGCTTCCCACAGAGAGCCTCCCACAGAGAGCCTGGCATGGCAGGGAGGCAGGCCATCCACAGGCAGACATTCCAGCTCCCACATGGCAGAGCTGCCTTGGTCCCTTCCTTTCTTTGATATCTAATAAAGTAATTTTTCTTGTTTTCCAACTGGTTTTGATAGCTTTGAATTTGAGTCACAGGCTGCTGATGAATTCAGCTATCGTTAACTTTACTGATGTTCCCTGGCCACTGCTTCAGTGCCGTATGAAAGCGTTCTTCTCTTTCTCCGCTTCCCCACCCTCCTCTGCCACTCATTAGTTTGTGTTTTGTCCTTCTTACTATGACTTAGAAGGACAGTAGTCTGAATGGGGGGGAGAACTCTGTCAAGTACATTTTGTTCTCTTGAAATTAAACTGCCCAAAGGTATGTGATACAACTCCGGTGGAGAGCTGCTTTGAGTTCTGTAAGAGAGGTGATGGCAGAGAACCTGTGAGGTCGCTGTATGAACATGATGATGTCTTGCTTGGTTTTAATTTCCCTCCTTCTGGAAAACCAGTTTTCTATTTCAAGCTGCTTTGGTCACCCTAGCGATGACACGAAAGTGGCTCCCCCTTGTGTTGGCAGGGAAGTGCTGTAATAGTAGTGCCCATGCTGGTTCTTACCTCGTCAGGCTGGGCCCAGCAAAGCACTTAGAGACCATCGATTCCCCACTTTACTCTCTGAGAACACAAACTCCTAAATGGTGGTAGTGGCTCACCAAAGGTTACCCAGATGGGTGAGTAGCAGAGTCTGAATGAGAACAAAAAGACAAATTTTAAATGTAGCATTCTTTTTATTACCTGACGCCACACAGAAAGATGTTTAACGTTTAGGTAGAGTTCAGTCGACATTTGAAAGTGGATATATCTGTCTGGACTTGCATAATGTCTAATTAAAACTCATTTCATACACGTTAGGCAGTGGGAGTATTGCTTAGTCTACATAGCAATGCTAATGTCGAATTAGACTTTAGAGTTGAAACAGCGACAGAAATACATGGTGACAGGTGCTGCCTTCCAGGAGCTTGTGACCGTGAGGGTGCAGATGGCATTGACAATACTTAGTGAGGGGACAAGTTAGGAGTACAGAGAAGCCTCTGAACCCAGATGAGTAGAAGAACAGTGTCCCTTGGGGGCATTTCCACTGTCTTACTCCTTCATTGTTGCTTCAGAAAATGTCTTCTTTTGCCTCTTTTCAAGGAAGGGAACTAACTTTTTTTTTTTTGGGAACTAACTTTTCTTTGAGAATAAAAGTTATATTGGGGTACCTCCAATTACCCCACACTCACAAGAGATAAAAAGTATATTTGTGAAGCAGTGTTTGTCTGCCCAGCTTTGGGGATTACGGCATGGACATGCCTTGCTCAACAGAACATGAGAACCCACGGCCCCTGGAACCTGTGCCATGGAAACAGGAAGGAGAAAATTGGTAGATTATATATCGTTTTTATACTAAATGAAATTATGTTCAGAAGGGAAAAAAATCAGTTTCACTAACAAGATAGTAGCGGACTTGAGGTCAACAGGAAGGTTAAATGCACGGGTAGTTAAAGAGCCAAAGCATGTGTGTGTGGCATATTAATAGCTACATAGGTCAAGGATCAGGGATGCTGGTGATTGGAAGCAGTGTTGGGGGCCAAAATCATCTTGATCTACTATTCAAAGAAACAAAACTGGAAAATTATTTAAGTTAATGAGCAGCCGCCAATTTCTATTTTACTCCACTAAGAGGATTAGCCCTTTTGGCTAGAGGTAATGTTATGTGTTCTGGATGTCTTAATAATAATAAAAAAACTTATTTTAATGACTTGGAAATAGAAGGAAGCCACATTTTTCTTTAGCACGGCCCTTTTCAGCCCTTTTGTTGCAGCTGGTGATTTCTGGTTAGAATAAGACATCTATTACCTAAAATAGGACTTCAAAAGGAGAACTGACAAGTACAGAATCAATTTCCTGTGTCTTTCCAGTTGGAAAAGGTACAAAAATATTTAGTGCTTTTTTAAATGGAAAACTACTAGCACTGAAAGGAGGATCTATAAGTGAAGCCCCCAGACCAAATTAAGAAGATGACATCCCCCAGAGAGTTTCCATTTCCAGTGTAAGAGATAGCAGCAAAGAGGCTATTTGGATATCCATGCGGCAGTGATAAACCTGTAATTGGAAAAAGCCTGCTGATCTAAAGACATATCACTAGGAAATAAGTACTCCCTTGCTAGCTAGAAGTAGAATGATCATTAACTGTCAGCTTCTGAAGAGAGACGTAGTCTTAATGACATGGCCTTAAGCAATAGAATCAATATTCCAGGATTGTGCTATCAGCAGACTGAACCAGGGGTGCAATCCTAACTGTACAAAAGCACAACTTCTAACTGCAGAGCAATGAGGAGAAATGAAAGCCCAAGGTTGTACTCACCAGAGAGGATGGCGAGGTATAAATCTGAACATTGTGATCTATTTGGGAAGAAATAGAAAGTGTCGTTGGTCCAAAATCAAGACACCATAGCAATGCCATTTCAAAAGACACTAAAAACATCATGGAAAACATAACCTAAGTAAAAGGGAGATGAATTTGTGCCTTTACCATTTTATAACTCAGGATATTTAAATTTAGAGAAAGGGGATTGGCTATATAACCATA